TCTAATTTTTTGCACATCCCATAAAATATTTTTACTTTCACTTAAAATGTTTAATATACATCCCATTACATAGTTTATTGCGGGTAGAAATTATTTTGGAGATATTTTAAACATTTTAGATAGAATAAAAATATTTAATTGAGTGGGCAAAAAAATTAGAACAAAATTATTTTCAAGAAGAGAGTATGTACATATGGTGCATTATTTTCACCAATAATTTTTATTTAATGATATCACATACGTGATTTCAAACAAAAACAACCCACCAAATTAAAGTAGTACCATACGTGGGGTATCCAGACAGATTAGTGTTGTGCCCATTTCTAAAAGATAAATTATACTTCCATCCTCATAAAAATCTTTCCTCTTTCACTTTTTATTTGTTGTAAAAAACATTTTTATTTTTCATTAAATAGTACTCTCTCCGTTTGGAAAAACCCTTCCCATTTAATTTGGGGGCAAAAATAAGGAAGTGTTAAATTATACTCCCTCCGTCCCATAAAGTGTTACCCATTTTGACTAAAGTTGAAATTAAGGGAGAGATAATTTTGTGTTGACTTTCCAAAAATACCCTTGATGTAATGGGTAAAAGTAGGATGTGATGTATAGATTATTAGGAAAAAGGTATAATGTGATAGATAGGGTTTGAAAAAGTAAGGGGTAAAAGTGGTTTTTTAATAGAAATGGGTAAGAGATTGTGGGACACAATTTTTTTGAAACGTGTAAATCTTTTTGGTACGGAGGGAGTAGTTGATTTCCAATTTTGCCCCTGATGTAATGGGTAAAAGTAAGATGTGATGGATAGATTATTAGAGAAAAAGTACGATGTGATAGGTAGGGTATGAAAAAGTAATGGTAAAAGTGGTTTTTTAATAGAAAGTGGAAGTGTTTTGTTGGAAGTGGAAAAAATGAAAGAGGAAGTGTTTTTGAGAACGGAGGGAGTAACTTTTACTTTTACTAATTCTTATATTACTTGTCACATAATATTTATTCAATGCTAATCTACCAATCACACCTAATTTTTTTTTGAAAAGTCAACAATAAAATATACTCCCTCCGTCCCATGAAACATGGGAATTTTGCTTTTTAGGAGGGATTTAAGGGGAGTGTATTTTGGTATTGAATTTCCAAAAATGTCCTTTGATGTGATGGGTAAAAGTATGATTTGATGGATAGATTATTAGTAAAAAGGTATGATATGATAGTTAGGGTATGAAAAAGTAAGGGGTAAAAGTGACTTTTTAATAGAAATGAGAAATGTTTTGTGAGACGGATAAAAAAAGAAAGGAGAAAGGTTTTATGGGACGGAGGGAATATCTTTCTTAAATATCTTAAAGTCAATACACTTGAGGGTTTTTAGAAAGAGAGTACACACTTTCATTTACATTCAATAAATATTACGAAGTATGTAACTTAATTATGAATATAAGTACATTAATTTTATAATGTGTATGCTCAGATTTTGAAATACATTTTTTTGTAATTTCAATATTTCATTTTTTTTTTGGATTGGAAGTACCTTTTAACACGTAACGAAATGAATATTGCGCAAGTAAAAATGTGCATACATCATGGTATTATATTGTTGTGGTGCATACTCCGAGTATGCGCAAATTAAAGTGTGAAAAGAGCATTGTGTAACATACTAACATATAAATGTTTTATGTTCTATATAAAATAAAATCTAGATTTATGATATATGAACTCTATCAAGATAAAGTTACACTTTTACATGAGTATTAAAAAAAGAAATTAATTGTGTGACTCATTATTATATGGAGTATTAATTTTTAATCTTCTACATACATGTAAATTATCTCACATCACTCCCGTAATGATATTTTACTTTAATTTTTACCGTGTTAAATTATACTCATTTTCTTTATCTATGTTATTGATCCCTTGATAAAATATAATAGCCTTGTAATAACTTTTAAAGTTTTTTTTTAATATAGTCTTTTAAGTGAAATTTGCATTAAATAGGACTAAAACATAAGTCATTTCCAAATGTAAGACTTAAACATATTTATTCCCTATATAGTACTCCCTCTGTTCCTTAAAACCGTTCCTATTTTGACTTTGGGCCAAAATAAAGAAAATGTAATTTTAGTTGACTTTCTAATTCTGCCCCTGATGTGATGGGTAAATGTAAGATGTGATAGTTTTGTTATTCGTGAAAAAGTATGATGTGATATGTACGGTATGAAAAAGTAGGGGTAAAAGTGGTTTTTTACTAGAAAGTGGAAGTGTTTTAAGAAATTAGAAAAAAATGAAAGAGGAAGACTTTTATGAAACGGAGAGAGTATGAAAATCACCCTAAATAGGACTAGAACATTAAAAAAAAGTGCAAAATAGGAATTCCGCATTTTTATTCTCGAAATAGAACTTTGCACTATGGTAGTGTTATTCTAATGTGACAATGTACATATGCACATTATTATACTTTTTGGTAATGTACATGACCATGTTTGATAATGTTAATGCATTTTGACTCTTATTTCGATAATAAAAATATGGAAGTCCTATTTTGTTATATTTTCAATGTTTTACTCATACTTTAATCTTTTTTCCTAAATAGTATCCCCTCTGATCCACAAAACTCTTCCTCTTTCGTTTTTTTGCTTTCCACAATACACTTCCACTTTCTATTAAAAAACAACATTTACCCCTACTTTTTCATACCCTACCTATCACATCATACTTTTTCACTAATAACCAAACTATCACATCTTACTTTTTCTTATCACATCAGAGGCAAAATTGGAAAGTCAACCAAAATTACACTTTTCTTATTTTTTCCCAAAGTCAAAACCGGAAGGGTTTTGTGGAACGGAGGGAGTACTTAATAATGTCTGGTGGGAGACATAATGTCAAGTGATGATAGACATTTACATTAATAATGACTAATGGATAATGACTAATGATCTTACATTGGGAAATAAAAACATATAGTCGTATATTGAGAAAGCCATTATGTTTTACTCCATCTGTTCCTTTAAACACTTCCCATTTTGACTTTAGGCAAAAATAAGAAAAATGTAATTTTGGTTGACTTTCTATTTTTGCCCCTGATGTGATAGCTAGGTAACAGTAAGATGTGATAGTTTGGTTATTAGTGAAAAAATATGATGTGATAGATAGGGTATGAAAAAGTAGGAGTAAAAGTAGTTTTTTAGGGTCCGTTTGGTATACGGAATTGATGGAATTGGAATTGAAATTCCATGAGATTCAACTCCATAGAATTGAATTATACCAATTCCAATTCATTTTTTGCACTATCCCAAATCCACATAATTTTTGTGCTACCAAACACCAGAATTGGAATTGAAGCTCTCAATTTCAATTACATAGTTTGAATTCCGTGTACCAAACGGGGCCTTAATAGAAAGTGGAAGTGTTTTAGAGAATTGAAAAAAATGAAAGAGGAAGAGTTTTATGGAACAGAAGTAGTTTTATTTATGTAAATCCCCCCCCCCCCCTCTTTTTATCAATTTTACACCAATTTTAATACGAGTATGTATTAAATTGAAAACAACTTTGATTAACCATCCTAATCCAAAANCCAAAACTGAAATATTATTGTAGGACAGATGGAGTATATTTTTATATGGGATATATTTCACCTTATTTTTGTACGTATTGTGGAGTTAAACCATAAACTTCTTTTTGAATAAATAGATGGATATTTTTTGGCACAAATAACTCTATTTTTTATACATACTTTCTCAACTTATTTAAGCACATAAACTTGGTGATTTTGCTAGGAATTGTACTCGTGGTCTAGCTCCCATTTGAGAGTGCTAAAATGATGCCGCTGGACTATTTGGCTTAAATAATAAATGCAAAAATGCTATGAACCCACCACAATTGTCCCCATAGATGACAATCAAAAAATGATTTATAGATGTACGGACAATGATCATCTGTGATCTAACGCAAATAATTATCGTCTATGTATGCATAAAATTACATGTGATTGTCATTCATGAGGGCAACTGTGGTGGGACCTAGCATGATCCATATAAACGGGTACAATTGAAGATTTAATTAGATATAAAATGATCTAATTAAAATTTTCAACACCATTAATTATTGTATTTTTTTGGTAATGTATAAACAGACACACCCACACACGCAAATATATACTTCCTCGGTCTCATTGATTCTTTTCAGGTATATTCACATCGGCAAATTCACTTGCATTTGTTTTTTTCATATAGATAAAGAAAAGCGAAATTGTTTGATTGAGATTAATGGAAAGAAAAAAAAGTAATACGTACCATATATATTTTCTATTCCTTTTAAGGAATAATGAGTTTATTTTGAGACAACTTAAAAAAAAATTAAAAATATTAACTTGAGACATATGGAGTATGTATATTTTATTTTTGTTCTTACTCAAATACTTAACTAAAATTATTTAAAAATAATATCAGCCAAACATAATAAATCGTTCTGTCAAGAATAAAGTAATAATGTATTCCTTCCATCTTACAATAATTTACACAATTAATCAAAGACGGATATTATTCCTTTTGTCCTTAAAAGATTGTCACAATTTGATTTTTTATTATTCCTACTTTTTCCTACCATTCATATCAAAGACAAAATTAAAAAATCAGCTATAATTTAATTATTTTTTGTTTTAGCCTTTGATTAAAGTAGGAAGTGTTTTCTAGTGAGTAGAAAAAAGAGAGAAGGGTGTAAAACAATAATAATAATAGGTGCAAATGAACAGTAGGGTGGTGGCTCCCATCCAACAAAAACATTTCGAAGGAAAAAAAAAGACATCAATTAAACAACAAAACCTTTCTCACTCTACTCCTCTATTGTTTTTCTCTCTCTTCCTTATTACACCTCACCACCGCTCTCTCTCTCTCTCTCTCTCTCTACACCGCCACACATTTCTCCCACTTTCTCTCTCTAGAAAAAAAAGGAAAAAAAAAAGAAAGAGAGCTGTTAGGGTTTGAGCTCACTTCGCAGCCGGATTCGTCTCCGCCAGCTGGATGTCCGGTCCCGGATCTCGCGCATCTCCGTCCGCCTCTCCGCCGTGAATCGGACGGCGGTCCTCTCTTCCCCCGCCGCCGCCCGACGACGACCCAGCAGCAGGTACTTGATCTCGAAACTCACTCCTCCGATTCGCTCTTGTTTCCTTCTAATTTCTGGGTTTGGTTTGCTGGGCGGTTTCCGAGCCCGATTGGGCGCGGGTTGGATGTTCGGGTCGAGTTCCGGCTGAATCAAATCTCTCCCCCTCTCTTTCCTTTCGCATGTAAAAAAAAAAGTTTGGGCATTTTGATTTCTGTCCTTTCTTAGTTCTTTGTGTTCTTTGCTGAATTTCCATTTTTGCCCTTCCCCCCTTTTCTCGCGTTCCACCGTAGGATCCCTCGAAATCTACGGCTCTCGAAAAAGCCCTAAATCGCAATTAATTAATCTCCGATATTAGCGCGTGATGGTTATTATTGCTTTCATTATCTGCTGAATTAGTAATTATCCCTTCTGCGCTTGTAAAAATTTAAAATAGACCGGCGGTAAAAAAAAAGGAAACCCTAAAGTCGACTGGAGTCGACTGGAGTCCACTGTTCATCCCCGACGATTTAACCGCGTTTAATTTTACCTGCCAATGTTAACTGCCGGTGAAAGTAGTTGTGATTATTACCATATAAATTGGACCGGAGTTCTCAAACCTTTGTGTTGTTAATCTGTGATTGGATTCGAATTAGGGTTTCGTTTTAATTTCCCCGAAGAACCGATGATTGTTGATATATAGTTGTGGGAATTTAATTATGCTGAAATGGCGGTGAGATTATTTGCAGTGGCAACGAAACCGCGAACGATTCGTGCCGGTTTTGTCACGTTGGTTCTATGATTTTATGTGCAGGAGTACACATTCTACATTTGAATTTCGGGCGTTCGGGCGAGTTGATTACTTAGTTTTTGTTTCATAGAGTGGCGTGGGGTGCTACTAGTGCGCGTTTCGCGTTGAGTTTTTGTGATCGGAAGAAAAAAAAAGTTTTAAAATTGATTGGAAATTGCTATTTATCTGTATGGTATGGTATCGTATTTGTAGTGTTAGTCTTCTTCTCATTGTGTCATGTAGAAGAGTGACACGGCTATGGGAAATCACCAAATAAGTGAATCGTGCAATAATACGGTTTCCAGACCTTCAGGATCCTCGTCGTCGCCGCTTGTAAAGATTGACTCAATTGTAATCGACCTCAGCCATATTGCTATGCAGAAGCTTGAAGAGGGAAAATGTCACCACACGTTCTCTATTCGGTAAGATTTTTGTTCCGTTCGTGCACAAGGATGGTCATTTTTTTGATGTTGTATGTTACAAGTTTGAACATCGTTTTTTGTAAAATTTGAATTGAATGGTCTTATGGCTATGGATGCAGTGGATATGTTGCAGGGATGAGAGAAAAGGACAAGAAGGCGTGTTTGCCCTTTGCAACATCATGTGATGATGATAGTACTGTTTCGGAGGTGCAACTTCCTCCCCTAGTTGTTCCCAAGTTTAGGTGGTGGCGTTGCGAGAACTGCGTTAAGGATCTTGTCACCGATGAAAATGCAAGAAAGGATCTTGGTGGTGGGCAGACCTCTCTTCGCGGTCGCAAACGTTCCCCGTTTAAGTGTAAGCCGGGTAGGGCTAGTAGTGACGCAGAAAAGCCAGCATCTGATGTGGCGGCGCGCGCTCAAACTTTGGATAAAGGTGATGAACCGAAAGCTGCTTCTTGTTCCAATGCATCATTATCCCAGCATGCTAAAGAAGTAAACTTTGAAAGTGGAGTTGTAAATGCACATGGTATGTTGTGTGAGCTTTTCGTTTTGTTTCTTTTTGGTGTTTTGGCTGGTTTTTTATTTTCTGTATGCGTATGTTCTGCCCTTTTCTGTATCAGTTGATGAAGTTGAACCTGAACGGGTCAGAAACAAGGAGATGAGTAGCGGAGAAGGACTAAAGATTATATGTTCTAATCAAGACTTGGGTCAAGAAGCACATAAAAGTAGGTAATTTAATTGTATGATGTCCCCAACATCATTTGTATCAATAGCTACTAAACTCTCTAGGAATCCTCATTTTAAAACAGTCGTCTAAAGATTCCAAGTTGGCATCTAGACTTTTGACATAAGTAGAGCTCTTGAGCATTGTTTTAGAGCCAACTATGTGGTGGTAACCACTTCTGGCTTATTTTTTAAAAGATGAATAACCCAAATGTGTAGCTTTTGACTTGGCTAGCTGAAATGAGTGTTACCAAATGTTTTTTCCCCTTTCTGAAAATTCAGCAGATTAATTCAGCCAAAAAATCTTTACCAAATGGACCTTTACACTAATGAAATATCACTACAAGATGTTGTGCACCAATTGGAACACTATATTTCTTTGGACTCAATTATACCTTATTTGCTATTAATATCTATTTGAGCCGGGGGGGTCTCTTCGAAACAACCTCTCTACTTCCAAGTAGGGGTAAGGTTTGCGTACACGCACCCCTTCTTTTGGGATTCTACTGGGTTTGTTGTTGTTGGTATTAATATATATATTAAAGATGATGAAAGTGAGCGTATCGTCCATGAAACAGAAAACCATTCGGATGATGATAGAGATAGGGGTGTTTCATTACCTCGTGAGTCGCCGTTGACCACCAACACAAGAGAAGAAGCTGTTGGTAATAGTTTGGGAGAACAAGGCATTGAAGGGTCATCCGAAAGTGATGGGGAAACTGGAAAGGCCAGGTTCCGTTTGCTTACTGATTTATTAAGTGGGCAAACCAACCCGGAGAATACTACCAGCACAAACTCTGCACAAGCTTCCCTTGGCCAAAACCCAGTTGCATACTCTGATGCAGGGACAGCTGACCTGGAGAAAGGTCATAGGAAAAGGAAGATTCCTCAAGAACCTGAGGGTAAAGTATCGGAGGTGGGTTCTCGAGTTAACATTGTAAAGAAAGCTGCCATTGATATTCCTGATTCACAACCAAATCCAGCCCGGCAAACCAAACGCAGAACTGAGAAAGAACCGGGAGTGGTGAAAAAGAGAAATAAACTGATTCATGTAGATGGTGGATGCTCTTCAATAGTTCCTTGGCCAACAACGCCCGTCGGATCGGGTGATTTGAAGAAAAATGAAGGGACTCTAGTGGAGCAAAACTTGAAAGCTCTTCAACCTCCAACGGAGTCCAAGAAGAGCTTTTCAGCGATCAATAACAGCAGGTTTTCCGAAACAGGATACCTTCCAACTTGGATGGGAGAAAGTTCAGTGAAAAGGAAGAATGCCGAACCGTGGCTCCATTCACCAGTTGGGAACTATGAGATACCGCGCGCTGTGTCAGGTAAAGTTGGGTTAGATTTGTCCCTTGACAGCTTTAGGGATCCAAAGGCAAGAAGCATGGAGATTGAATTTGACCAAAATGGTAATCTGAAGAAAGGAGATAAAACAAGTGATCATAAGAGGAAGAAGGGAACTTTAATAAGAGAAGAAAATGACACACTTAAAGCAGACTGGCCTTCTTTAAAGGGAGGATTATTATGTGACCTTAATGCTCAAACAACTATACCTTTCAATGGGAAGCAAAAAAATCCAGCCGCGGTTGATGAAAGAAGTCTTCCTCTTCATAAGAAAACGGTACCCATTTCATTTCATCTTCTTTCTGAATATTTCCTTTCGAATACTTTTACTTGCTAGTTTCTCATTGTAGTTTTACCCGAGAAGAATATAAGACTGAAATAATGGGTTCCAGTTCTTTTTTATGCTAGCTTTAAATGAAAAATCCTTCCCGGATTATATTTAATTTTTAAAAATTTAAATAAAAAAGAATACGAATAATACTCGTGAATTTTTAAATCTTGAATCGATAGTTTGAATTTCGAATCCTGAGTTGATGGTTTTTGGCACTCTGAATAGACAAGAAACGGAAACTCTGAACATCTTTCTCTAAGTTTTATTTTTTTGTTTTTGAAAATTTAGCTGAAGGGTTATCCTGACCAAGTAAATAGCACAAGATTCAGATGGAATATAATGCATTCTTTGTATTCATTGGTCCTTAACCTGCACTTTCCTCTCAGGACTATTCCTTCCAAAAGAATGAAGTCAAAGAGTTTCGCCGGAGTACGGATGCAGGTAATAAGCATAAAAAAGGTCAAAGGCGCGATGAGAAATCTTCTGAACAAGGTCCACCAGATGACATACCGATGGAAATAGTGGAACTGATGGCTCAAAACCAGTACGAAAGGGGTCTCAGTGAAAAACCGGTTCAGGCAACAAACGGCTACGGTTGTGCGAATGGGTATTCATCACCAGATGTATATGGAAACAGTTTCACTGCATGGAAGTCACCTCCTTTGAATTATTTTCACCGCGATCATGCCAGCAAAACGGTTGAAGAAAACCGGCTTAAATTGTCAGGCGCACTTCCTCTCAACCAGGCGAAAAAAGTACCAAACGGAGGAAGCAGAAATGGGTTTCAGTTGGGCGAAGGTGTGAACCCAATGTGGTTGGGCCCCACCACCAACCCCCCATTTGGCTTTCCGAACTCCTCTCCTTCTCAGTCAAGAAGCAAGGAAATGGGTGCTCCAGTTCACAAGGGGAAGACCATCAGTGACATAAAAGCCAATGAAGTGAGAAAGCAAAGCGAATCTCATCTGTTTTTCTCAAAACCACAGGATTATGAAAGAGCTCATTACGGCACATATAATAAAAACTTAGGACGGCCATTGTTGGAGTCTTACCCAAACGAGGCTATACCCGCATTGCAGTTGCTTAGTCTCATGGATAGGAATGTGTCGTCATCCAATAGGGCTTTCAATCTTGAGAAACCATTTGCTCCGTGTGATTATCACCCCAGTCTTAACAGGGAAATGACTCATAATTTCTTAGATAGATCTTTGTTTTCGTCGCATCAGCATCCCAAGCTCTCCTCTGACCTTAGACCTGGCGTATCTAATCCCGGTGAAGGCTCCCTCCAATCTCTACCTCTTGCGCACCGTAAGTTCCATTTTTTCTTTCCTTCTAAATTTTCATCAAAGATCCAGTGATTGATTGCATTTCTATTTCATTAGTACATTTTAGATGATTTTTGCCACAATTTCAATAACATGCCATTTCACCTGCCTCTCTACTTTCGAGTAGGGGTGAGGTCTGCGTACACACACCCTCCCCAGACCCTACTGTAGTGGGATTCAACTGGCTTGTTGTTGTTGTTGTTGTTCACCTGCCTCTCTATTCCCAAGTAGGGGTGAGGTCTGTGTACACACACCCTCCTCAAAAGTCGAAACCTACACTTTGTGGGATTTTACTTGGTTTGTTGTATGTCATTTCATCTGAATATACCATTGCAAACGAGCTCGTAAGGTTTCGTGTTTATAACAGTATGGTCAAAACTTGTGCACTCACACTACCATTTTATCCTAATGTTTCAAGACTTTACAGATCAATTATGTTTCAAGTCTCAAGAACAAGAGAAGTCAAGAAGTTCATATGCATCCTCACTGCTGGGAGTAAGCAAGTACCAGAGCCCTGCTTCTTTGAGCAGTTCCCGAGATATGGTCCACGGATCTTTTCCTGTCAGGGAAATGCCGAGAGGGCAGTTAACCCTCCCTCCACCCATCACCTCCTTTCCGTTTCAGGGTCATATGCTTGAGACCCGGCACAAATATTTTGACTTTGGGAGAGGAAACGTCCACGGCACCGTTTGGCCTTCGAAGAGCATGCCCGAGAGCAATATCTGCAGCCTCAACCAGAACCCAGCAGATTTCAGCATCCCCGAAGCTGGGAATGTCTATACAATCAGCTGGAAAGACCTGAAATTTGGGAACAGGGGTTTCATGAGAGCAGGGAATGTGATTAGAAAGAGACGCCCGAAAATAACCAGGGGTAGAATGGTAAAAGAGGCACCGCAGTACGTTAACTTGTGAATGTCATGTCCTCAGAAGAGGTAAGTAATTAAAGACCCTAAACATCATGAGAATGTATAGACAAGTTATGCCCCTGTGTGTGTTAAACTTGTATCTTCTTAAAAAACATCAGATGTGAATCTTACTTACATTTGGGAAATCAAAGACTTGTATTAGGTGTTTTATTGGCACTTGTGTGAGAGTTTTTTTTGCTTGTCAGAATAAGTTTGAAATGTATATATAACTCTGTATACACTATCTATATATATATATACTCTGGGGAAACAGTTAAAAGACTTCCAAATTACTTTGGAGATTATGTACCATTTGATTTTCTCTTGTTATTTTGTGGTGTATGGTGGTTAATGAAAAATGACCAAATCATTTTCACTTTCTGTTGCTATTTTCTTTCATACCCTTTGATTAGAACTCCATATCTATGTATTAAAAAGGTGTGTGTATGTGCGCGCGTGCACGTGTCATCTTCTCTCGCCAACTACGCGTTGGGAGGGGTGTTTGTGTCATACTTCATCCGTCTCAGAGTATTTTATTCACTTTTGACTTTTTTTGTTAAAATTGGCAAAGTTTGACTTTAAATTAAATAAAAATAATATTAGATGTTGACACAAAAATAATTTTATTAGATTTATTATATACGGAGTAGATTATTTTTAAGATATATTTTATCTAGTCAATATACAATATTTTTTAAGAAGTATATTTTATTTTATTATAGGTCAAACGTTAAAAATGATTGACTGAGAAAAGTTAAAATTGGAACGTGGTTAAGAATTTTCGTGGAACTTTATTCACAAACTCGAGTTTTTGTTTGGGGATTTAAGAGCATTGTTGACCAGTGTCACGAGTTTGACATTCAATTCAATAACTCTGTTTTTAGACAAAATTAATATTCATGTCCAAGGCTTGAGCGAAAAATAAATATTTCCTTCTACTGTCAAAATTCTAAGTTTTTGGTTAAATTGATTCTTTAGCAAATCTAACAAAGAGAGAATCAGAACTAAACCATGTCTATCCGAGTCTCTGATCTGATGTGAAATACGGAGTAATTTTTATACAGAGTACTTCCAATTTTTTAAAAAAATATAATTGCTCTATATAGGATCTCAGGCGCTATCAAATCTTTTAAAACTAATTGGTGTTAGAAAAGATACATATCCTAACCTTATAGTGCATTCAACACACAAGAGCCCACGACATTCGATTATGACTTAGCCCACATAGCCTCCGCCACGGGATAATTGCTGCACACATGGCCAACACTCTATATAATTATGTTTGAGAGGGGGAGAATACAATTATATAATTATTATAAGAAATGAATTATTAATATAATAATTGCGGAGTATTAAACTCCCTCCGTCCCTGAGTATTTATCCTTTTTTTACTTTTTCGGTCAAAATTGGTAAACTTTAACCATTTTTTACTTTTTCGGTCCCTGAGTATTGATACAAAAATAGTTTTATTATTATATTTATTATATAAGATATTTTAAAAATATTATTTTATCTAATTAATATACAATACGGTGTGTATATTTTTTATAATTATAGGTTTAGTATATTTGTAGATATATATATATATATATATATATATATATATATATATATATATATATATATATATATAAAATCATTTTCTTATGGAATAATACCTTCTGGTGGCACATTAACGTGTGTTCACATGCACCCGTACGTAGTCCACTACTACGTACGTACAAGGTTTGAGCATCTTATTGAAATAATTTGATAATCAGACCTCAACTTTTTAAGATCTATATATTGTTTTGTCAGTTTAATTTTTTTGTTTTTGAATTTTCTGACTTTTTAATTTTATTATTTTTTGCGAGGCCTAAAATTTTCTGACTTTGAGCTCTGGTCTATAAAATCAAATTATCGATCGATACTGTTTAATTAGTTGGTTCGGATGTTTGTTTGTTTGTTTAGTCGTACGTCTGAATTTATTTGTGTCAGAATTGTGACAATAATTTGATTATTTGAATCTGACCAAATCTTAGTTTATTATTTTCCTGTTTGTTTTTATGTGAATGTTGTATTATGGAAAACAAGCTTAGGAGCAACCGTTGTGCCCTGGATTGAGCAACCGTTATCCCTTTTTTTAAGTTAATCGAGTTTTTTTCACAAAAAAAAAACACTTTTTGACCTTGTAAAGTGAGTAATTTTTCCTTTTGGTCCAATAAAGTACGGATTATTTTTTAATTAAGTCGTCTTTGTAATATACTAAGTTTTTTTTTTGTAATTGGTCTTTCCGCCAAATCAGAATTAATGAGTCAAAGTTTATAAGAAGGACCAAAAATAAAATAACTTTGGACACAATTTTTTTTAAAGGAACCAGAAATAAAAAATTTAATATTATATGGACCATAATCATATTCAAGATTAACTCCAAATTTTTTAAAATTAGTGAGAGGACCATTTACAAACAAAAATATTTTATGGGGATGAATTAATAAACATATATTTTAGAATGACCAAAAATTAATTAAATTTATTTTACAAGAACTAAAAACATACTCTGTATATAATATTTTTCTATGTCAACAAAATGTTCGAAGTATGTCTCACTCTATGTTAATGGAAAGTTTTATAGTTTAACATGTCATCTCACATTTTACGCAAACATATTCGATCATTTTCGTTCAAATATAATGCGTGAACATTAATCTTATCAATTAGATTATACTCCCTCCATCATAAAATGTTCTTCTCGGTTACTTTTCACACGGTAAAATTTTAATCACTTTTTTTTTATACCTATTTTCATTAGGCATTTGAAAAAATAAACCATTTGTTTTGTAGAACTTTTGATGTAGTTTTTAAATATATAAATTTTATTTTTTAATTTACACCTACAATCAAATAAATTGAATTGAAAATAAAGTCGGTCAAACCTCGTAAACAGAAACGGGAAGAACATTATAGAACGGAAGAAGTAGTAAAATTTAAGTAGGGAAATGCTTGGTTCACAAACTTCACAAACTTACCATTTGTGAACTTCAATAAAGAAAATTAAATAGTCTAAAATAATTTTAAAATGAGAATTTAAACATAAATAGTAAGTTTGTAAAGTTTGTAATCCTTCTGTTATACTTTGTAACATTTAGATCTACATTAGTATGATGTCATGTGAACGAATTAACTTAATTAAAAATATAAAATAGCTAAAGAACATTAAAATATACTACCTCCTCCGTCCCGTAAACCTTTTATGTTTTGACTTTGAGATGGAAAATTATAGAAGTTTGACCAACGTAAAACGATGATAATTGAAAATAGTAAGAATCATGAAATGTCAAAATAGATAGAACATAGAAGGTAGTCGAGATATGCTCAGTTTGATTTAAGAAAAGTAAAGGAAACATAATTTAAATGTTTTATGCAACAAGGAAGATGTAAAAACTGAAAAGTTTTACGTGACGGAGGAAGTACTTCGTACTCAGTAAAATTTATATCAAAATAAGATCACATATGTTTTAGTCAATTACAAAATACACTTTCCTTGAATTTGTCAAGAATTAAACTGAGATTTATTACTTTCAAAAAAGGAGGAACTGAAGTGGTATAACTCCTCAAATCTTCAACTCCCTGCGGCTCTAAAAAAATATTCATGTTTCATTTTTTACGCATCTCTGAATACTCTTCCATACATACCTTGCTAGCTATAATGTTTAAGATTCACTATATTATTGCTCCTTTGTTACGGGATTTACGGGTAGAAGTTTTTTGGATGTATTATAGATGTGGTAGAAGCTAAGCATTTTATGAGATGCAAAAAAATGAAGCAGAAAATTAATTTTTTTTAAGATGGAGGAAGTATTTAAATAAATTTAGCACATTGTACGAAGTAAAACAATTTCAAAAAGAAAAAGTATTTTTTATAAGAAGAAATAAATTTACCCAAAATTGTTTAATTTAATTAGAAAGGGATAGATAGTACTCCCTCCGTCCCAGAAAACTTTTCTCTTTTCTTTTTTCATCCGTCCCAAAAAACACTTCTCATTTCTATTAAAAATCACTTTTACCCCTTACTTTTTCATACCTTTTTACTAATAATCTATCTATCAAATCATACTTTTACCCATAACATCAAAGGACATTTTTGAAAATTCAATACCAAAATACACTATCCTTAAATCGCTCATTAAAACCAAATCTCCCATGTTTTCCGGAATGGAGGGAGTATTTGCGAAAACGATGATGTAGGTTTAGGGCAGACGTAGTATATATGGGTAGTGAGCGAATGGGAAAGGGCATGCAGTGGACTTTAATGAATTATCTTAGCTTTATTTCTCCTCTCTTTTCCTGAAAATGACTTTGATGGTCCTTGTTACACATGGTCCCACCTCTCATACCCACCTTTTGGTGGGTCCCTACGGTTCAAATTAATCGTCTCATTTTTTGTTCATTCTACTAGAAAATATGTACTCTCTCCGTCCTTAAATATTTGTCACATTTGTATTCTCGAAGCAAAATATCAAGTTTTTTCAATTCATTTTATTTATATATTGATAAAGAAATAAAAAATAAAATTTACATATAAAAAAACTACATGAAAAGTTCTTCGAAATAAGAGGCGTCAAGAATATTTTATTTTATCAAATAATCAATGAAAACGTCGAAATAAACAAAAGCTCGCGACACTACTGAAAAAGCAAATGTTGTGAATATTAAGGGACGGAGGGAGTATTTCTTTCGTCGCACAAAATCTTTCTGCTTTTGACTTTTAAAAGATTTAAATAGAGTATATTTTGGTGTTGATTTTTTTTAAAATGTCCTTGGATGTGATTAGTAAAGTAGATGTGGCGTGTAAATTAATAGTAAAATAGTATGATATGATAGGTAGATTAAAAATTAATAAGGGTAAAAGTGACTTTTTAATAAAAAGGAGATAAATTTTTTTGAGACGAATGAAGAACAAAAAAGTTTTCAGGGACGGAGGGAGTACTTGTATATATACTCTCTCTGTATATAAAATATTAAAATGAGAGTAATACATATTAATATAAAGATGATTTGATTAGATTTATCTTGTTGAAAATTTTTAAAATATTATTTTATTTTACTAATATACAATACAAATATAGAGTTATTAAAGCTTAAAGTTTATTTTATTTAATTTAAAAGAACAAACAAAATAAATACTTCCTCTGTCCGCCATAGATCTTCCCAGACACTATTCACAGGGTCAAACTTAATTCACTTTGTTTGTTTATTTTCATTACTCATTTCATAAAATAATATAATGTTGTCACTTCTATTTTTGTAGAACTTTTCATGCAGTTTATTACTCTACTACATAGATTTTGTATTAAAATTTTACCCCTATATTCAAATAAATTGAATTAAAAATAAAGTCGGTCAAGACTCGTAACACACAATGGGAAGATCTTAAGTGGACGGAGAGAGTAGAATATACTCGGTAGTAGCCCGTAATTAATTGTGACAAAATTTTAATCTTTTTACCACACTGCTGCTCTAAATACAGAGAATAAAACAGGCCTGCTGGTTCTGCATGCCAGCAAGAAACCAATTAAATTAAACAGTAAAAAAAGTTGCCGTTATAAATATAAGTGGGCCAATAAAGAACATTTTTAGGTATGGTGCCAACTCCACTTTCTGTGGCCATAACTCTCTTTCTTTTAACAGGAATTTACTTAAATAACTCTCCAAAACAAAATTCATATTTTGACTTCATTAAATTTAAAAACAAATACAATAACAACATGCTATTGAATTTTGAAAAAGGCGAAATCTGGACATTATTTTCGCCACGAGGCATTGTCCAAATATTATCTAGAGAGTAAAAATTTTTAGGTACTACATTAGAAAAATACATGTACTCCATTCGGTCCTAAAAACTCTTTTTTTGTCAAACAATCACACTCTTTGACCATTAATTGTGAGAAAAATATGTTGATTTATAATACAAATTTAGTATAATTGAGTTAATCTTAATATATAGTTTTGACATATCAAATTATTATAACATTTACGGAGTATTTATTTAGTTTATGTTTAATTTGTGATAAAAGAGTATCGCTGATTGACTAAAAAATCAAAACAAGAATAGTTTTTAGGGTCGAAAGAAGTACTTACATTTTAGTACTCGTACTATTTAATAGAAAATTTCACAAAAAAATGAATGCTCGGATTATTATTATTTATCATATATTCATTTTCCTTAAAATGAAATAAAATGTAATGTGAAAACTTTAGAGTTTACTTTGAAATAGATAAAAAAAATACTCCCTCCGTCTGTAAAAAGACTTCTTATTTTGACTTGGAGCAAAAATAAGAAAGTGTTAAATTATAGTTGACTTCCAATTTTGCCCCTGATGTGATGGATAAAAGTAAGATGTGATGGATAGATTATTAGAGAAAAAGTATGATGTGATAGGTAGGGTATGAAAAAGTAAGGGTAAAAGTGGTTTTTTAATAGAAAGTGGAAGTGTTTTGTTGGAAGTGAAAAAAAATGAAAGAGAAAGTGTTTTTAAGAACGGAGGGAGTAGGACGTTTTTGGCTAAGATCAAGTGTAATTTGAGACAGAGAATATACTAACATACTGCGTATAAGACGATGTCATTGGTTAAAATATACCCCTCCGACGCTCCGTTCCTTTAAACTCTTTCCATTATGATTTTGAGCCAAAATAAAGAAAGTGTATTTTTGGTTTACTTTCCAATTTTCCCACTGATGTGATGATTAAAAGTAAGATGTAATAGTTTGGTTATTAGTGAAAAAACATGATGTGATAGCTAGGTAGGGTATAAAAAAGTAGGAGTAAAAGTGGTTTTTTAATATAAGTGATAGTGTTTTAGGAATTTGGAAAAAAATGAAAGGGTAAGAGTTATAGGGAACGAAGGGATTATTTACAACAAAACCATGCTAGGGGTACACTTCTGGTGTACTCCAAATTGTACTCAGCATTTTAATTGTACCCTGCATTTTAACGGTTCATACTGACGCAAAATGCCAGTGTAATTTTTTTTATTGAACTGACATTTTGTGTCAGCGTAAACCATCACACTAGCATAAAATGTTGGTACACATCTTCTCGAGATACAATATAGAATACAATTTTTGGGATACCTATAGCTTAATTCTAAAATATAAGCTAAGACTATGACAATGGGATAGTTGTACAGTTGTACACTAAAATAAAATGAAAAATCCGAGGAGTTCATCAAGTATACGTATAAGCTAATTAAACGTTAGCCCAAGCCTGAAAAAAGTTAGACAAATAAGTGCACACACGAGCATTCTTATAAACAATCCCCTTGCGGCAAAAATAGCCATTAGAGGGGCTACAATGTCTGTCTTTCGAACAGACACATAGCCCCTCCAAAGCACACCCGTCTCCCTTGGCGTCACCGTTGCCCGTAGATTTCCCGAACACCGCCTCCTCCGACCACTCGTTGGAGAACAGGTTCTTCGGGTCCAACCTCTTCTTCGCGTCCAAGAACCTCGCGAACCCGGGGTACTTGTTCAGCACACCCTTGAACGCCACGTTTCGGTTCTTGGCCCAGTGCAGGCGGGCCCCATGCTTGAAAAACGCCATTTGCTCCACTTCGTCCCACACTTCATATCCAGCCGCGGTGTCAGGGCGTCGTCTGACCGGTAGTAGTTGAAGTCAACCACCACTGAGTCCGACGGTTGACCCAAATACGCCTCCGAGGCAGGGACGTAACGTATCAAGAACCCGTTGTACATGTCGGCCCTGCAGAAGGACGCGGGCCCCACGGCATCGCGCAACGCCTTGACGTCGCGCACGAAGTCCTCGAACTTCTCCGCGGGGAAGACGGCGGTCGACTCGTAGAAGAACAGACCGTCGGTCCGTGGGTCCCACGCGCACGAGCTCGCCCAGTCGGACTCGGGCGTGTAGAGACACGAGCCGGAGGTCTGCATCTTTCCTTGGCGGCCGACGACGGGGTATCCGGTGAAGACCAAATCGTTATTCTTTAAGCCGTTGGCTATCAACTCTTTTGACGCGATGAATGCACCGGCGGCCATGCATTTCCCTTTCACGTCTCTCTTACGTTCGAAACTTTTCTCTACATGCATGAACACATTTTTAATTTCAATTTATTTAAAATTGGTTGTAAAAACAAAAAATACTCAGTAAAATTTATATACTCCCTCCGTTCCATAAAACTCTTTCCCTTTTGTTTTTTTAATATCTTAAAATATTTCCACTTTATATTAAAAAATCACTTTTACCCCCACTTTTTCATACCTTACCTATCACATCATACTTTTTCACTAAGAACCAAACTATTACCTCTTATTTTTACCCATTATATCAGGAGCAAAATTGGAATGTTAACTAAAGTTATATTTTCTTTTATTTTGGTAAGTCAAAATAGGAGAGATCAGAATATTTAAAAGGTAAGTAACGTTATTTGGTAGGTACCTGCGGCTCGAATGATCTGGGTGACGGGGATAAAGTTTGGCCGGAATCCGATGAAATCATTGACGCCGTCGCCGGGAGTGTCGAGGGGGACACGGTGGTCGTATCTATAGACGGCGGTGTTTCTAGAAGGATACCATTGAAGGTCTGCAAATTCGTGTTTCTTTGCATGCTCAATGTACTCATTCTCCACTCCGTTATCGTCCGTGAAGTTGTACGTTATGCTCCGTTTAAATGCTGGCTCAAGTGAAAAGGTCACCTAGCACATGAAAAGGTTAGAAATATTTGCACTAGTACTAAAATTTAAGTCATTTCCCTACTAAATAGCATTTAAACTGTTTTATTCCTTAAATAACACTTAATAATATGCATAATATCTAATGATGACGATCATTTACTTGAATAATGACTAATGGATAATGACTAAAAGTGTTACATTGGAAAAAAACACATGTGATACTATTTAGGGAAAATCATTGTGTTTTAGTTCTATTTACGTAAATTCCTCGTTTGATATGATGGGTAGGTTAAGAATTGACAGGAGTAAATGTGACTTTTTACTTTGTAATAGAATTAAGATTTTTTTTTGAAAACGGATGAAAAAAGAAATAAGAAAATGTTTTCTGAAATGACAATGAGGAAATCATCGATTTTGAAGATATTGCCATGCAAAAGAAAACATAGGAGTAAAATTGGAAGGATTATTGTGAATTTTTTCCTTTTTGTGAATCATAAATGAAAAAAAAAGGTTGAAAATGATGAATTAAAGTGCTTACAAAAAAAGTACGGTGTAAAATCACACTAACCTTAGAAATAACTCCAAGCAATCCCAAGGAGAGTTTGACGGCGTTGAGGAGAGAGTCACCAGCCGTGAAACGCCGCACTTTTGCATATCCTTCCGACTCCTCCGCCGGGACGACAAGGCTAACCGCCGTGACGTGGTCGTGAACTGCTCCGCCCTTTCCCCACCAGGAGCTGCCGTGCGCCCCGGTGCTTATGACCCCGCCGACGCTGACGCCCTCCCAGTAGGGTGACGCCACCAAGCTCAGCCCATCCTCCTCCACCCGGGTGATCAGTTCCCTCAGCCCCGCCCCGGCGTCCGCCGTCACCTCCCTTCTCTCCACGTCCACCTCCATGCATGCTCGAGTTGTACCTTCGTTTATTTTTTGTAAAATGTGGATTATTTATGGTGTAACTAACCCAAATAAGTTCATGCATTAACTAACATAATTCCTATTTACTCCCTATAATTACTTAGTGCATCAACACTCGCAACGCAAAAATGGAATGTCACACGTTGATGTGGAACATTTTAACCAATCAAAAATAGTCCAATCAGCGTGTGACAAGTGAATGGAGGGACAAACTCTACAGTGACAAGTCATTATTTTATCACTTTTTACATTTTTTTAATGTTTTTTAAACATAAAAAAATATTTTTATTATTTATTTTATCAAAAAATTATTCTACTTTCTTATACATTTTTTTTCATAAAAGAATTTTAAAAAAATTTTAAAAAAAAAGAAAAAAAGAAGAAGGGTGGAGTACATGTGACAGTGCAAGAATTCTTCTTTCTTGCCGGTGCACATGCTCTCACATATATAGACTAATTCGATTTATGTAAGAGCATCACTAGCTCATCTAGGAAAAATTGAAGGTATTGGAAGTAGATTGTGTGAAAGGAGAATTGAAGGGAATGACTAGTGATGTTTTAATACTCATTCATTCATAAATTTTCTTCCAATTCTTTATTTGTCCTTTTATACAAAAAATTCTTGTTTTCTTTTCTAGCAAATGTTTTTTTTAATTTTAATGACATTACTAACCTCACGTTTATCCATTAATTACTATACATTTTAGTGATGTTTTAAGTGAAATTTATACTAAATAGGATTAAAACATAAGTCACTTCTCAATATTGGACTTAAACTTTTTTGTTCTTTAAATAAGACTTAATAATGTCTAATAGATAATGACCAATGGTTCTACATTGGAAAAAAAACAAATAGTCCTATATTGAGAAAGTCATTATATTTTAATCCTATTTAGGTAAAAAATGGAATGCCACACGTTGACGTGGAACATTCCAACCAATAGAAAACAGTCCAGTCATCGTGTGGCAAGAGCATGGAGTGACATACATTACAGTGGCAAGTCATTATCTTTGTCACTTTTTTACATTTTTTGTATATAATTATTAATATTTATTTTATTTAATATTTTTATAAAAATAATACTATTTTCTTTATACTCTCTCTGTTCCCAAAAATGTCATAGTTACTATTTTAGATTTTTTATAACATTTTGTGTGTTTCCCTTTTTCACGGTATATTTAATAAAATAAATTATTCTTATTGTTGTTTATTTTGTAAAATTTTTGAAACGGTGAAAAGTTAAATTAAAAAAATTATTATTTTTGTTGAGTGGCAAGTGATAGGAGTGGCAAGTCCTACAATGACAAGTCATTACTTTTTTATTTTTTAATTTTTTTTATGTATATTAACTAATAAAAATTATTTTTATCATCTCTTTTAACATACAAATACTATGTATTTCTATTACCTTCATAGAAAAAGCTTTTTTTATATATAAAAATAGAAATTGAAACTAATAATACGTAGTATTTGAGTGGATAAATCCACTAACACCTTCATCCGTACCCCCCTTGCAAATTTCTTTCTTAAGTTAAAAAAAAGAAATAGGAAAAAACAAAAAAAAAAAACTAGCCTTGCCGCCATGCCTCGGCAGTGACTCGCAAGGAGAGTCAAAATAAAAATGACATGCGAGGAAAACAAGTTTGGTGCTGATGTGGCAGTGCGTGGAGCGTGGAGGCTATTTGCCTCGCCACTGCCACTCATTCATACACTTTATTTTAGTTTTTTCAATTACCTAAACGTAATTATTATTCTTCCGGTCCAAATAATTTATCGAAACGTGGCAAACAAATAAGAAGGGAAGGAGTATAATGTAGGCAAATTATTACATGCACTATAATTATTTTTAAAATTAAATAAAAATATGTGAAAAGATCTCTGTAATGTATGGTGCACCATAGAATCTCTGTAATGTATGGTGCACCATAGAATCTCTGTAATGTATGGTTGTATATATGTACCTACCTTTGGGTGCTAATTAATAGGGTGGCTCCATCTCCGGCGGGGCACGCCAGCTTTGGAATAGTGTGTGAAAACCTCGTCACCACCTTTATCTTCTCATTGTTCTTTGTAGCATCCGCCACCGCCGCCAGAAGCTCCTCCTCCGTCGCCGGAAACACCGCTTTCTGCGACCGGCACGCCTTCCTGTCACCCCAAACACCGTGCGCGTTGCGAATCGTGCAACCCGTCGCGTCGCACTCCAGAGGGTTCTGTACGTGGCGGTATTGCACCTACGATCACGACGGTCGTCCAACACCAGAGGACGGCCGCCGCTGATACGCCGTCACCGCGGCGGTGGTTTGCCACCATGGTTGATAAGTGACAATCGGTTTAGTATATTTTTTTTTTAATCTCTTTTCCTATTTTTGGGTAGTAAAATTACTTTTTCAAAATGTTATCCCTATCTTTACCACATTTCATATTTTCATTATAATGACAAATTTGACTAATTATTTCGGTTTATTTATTTCAAATTAGGTTTGGTAATGCGCCTTTATTTAGGTACCTGAGAAGGATTTATGACCTACCTGATGAAATTAACAATTCAAAAAGATAGTTTACGTGACTTAAAAAGAAAACCAGCTTTTCGCCAAAAAAAAACAAAACCAGCCAATTACATGTTCCATTATTGAAAAAAACAGTCCAAAAAATGATATATATATATACACACACACACACCAAACATTAAATAAAGGAAAATGTTATAAAAGAAGAAAATTACATTTGTCTGTGTTATAGAGAGACACAAAACAGTATAAAAGGAGAAAAAAAAGAACTTTTGATGTAGTTTTTAAATACTCCTTCCGTCCCATGAAACCTTTCTTCTTTCTTTTTTTATCCGTCCCACAAAACACTTCTCATTTTTATTAAAAAGTCACTTTTAACCCTTACTTTTTCATACCCTAACTATCACATCATACCTTTTTACTAATGATCTATCCATCAAATCATACTTTTACCCATCACATCAAAGGACATTTTTGGAAATTCAATACCAAAATACACTCCCCTTAAATCCCTCCTAAAAAAGCAAAAGTCTCATGTTTCATGGGACGGAGGGAGTAAAATATTTCTATACCAAACATTAAATAAAGGAAAAATGAAAAAAAAATTAAATTTTACTTTGTTTTAAGAAAAAAGGCCAACCTTTTTTAAATGGAGAGAGTATTTAAATTTTATTTATAAATTTTAATAATAATATTATTATTATAATTTATTTAAAATTTTTTTTGATTGTTTTCTTATAAATATTTGCATATAAATAAATGTATCCACAATTTTTACTCCTAAATAATTGATTGTTGGATAATACAAAATGATATCTTTCAGTCTTTCACTATTGGAATGTTTTCTCCCTTTCAGAATATTTGTTTAGGTTTGTCTTTTTGTAGTCAGTCATAACAGACTTTTAACCTATAATTAAATAAAAATCATGTGATATATTAATTAAACCCAACAATATTTTGAAAGTTTTTTACAATATAATTCTAATAATTATTCTTGAATCAATATATAATATAAATTTTATCTAATTAATAGTAAAAGTGTATCAATTTTAATTGTATAAGTCATTTCAAAATTAAATAAATATTCTGAGATAGAAATTATAATACACTGTCCGTCCATACATAAAATTCCCGTTGCGCGTTACGATGTTTGACTGGAGTTATTTTAAAACTATTTTATATGAAAAATAGTATGAAATTAAAAATTAAAAATTACATATTTAAAAACTATATGAAAAGATCTACTAAACCAGATATGATATGACTATATTATTTTATTATATATCACACGAAAATAGGTCAAAAGTGAATAAAGTTTGACTTTGTGAATAGTGAATAAGAACTTTATTGTTGAACGGAGAGAGTAAAGTATAGTTTATACTTATAAAACAATAGCACCTAAAAAAAATTCTCATAAATCTATAGGGAAAAAATGCAAAACAAAAAATTTCTCTTAATGGCGCCGGTTGGTTTAAGATGAGGATGTGGTCATGTTGATTTGTTTGGTTATATGAAGTCATAGGGTTGGTCATCATATGCCATTATGATGACTATTATTTTATCTAATTATTAACGAAAATATATTATTTTCCCCATTCATAAATAAAGTTTTCGTTGCGCATTACGATGTTTGATTAAAGTCGTTTTCATATTATTTTAAATAAAAAAAGGCATAAAATTAAAAAATAAAAATTACATATTTAAAAACTAGATCTACAAAACTAGATATGACATGACTATATTATTCTATCAAATAAGACACGGAAATATGCCAATAAAGTGAATAAAGTTTGACTCTGTGAATAGTGAAGAAGAACTTTATTATTGGATGGATGGAGTATAACAAAAATAGACTATTATAAAAAAATAGACTCTCTATAATGTGCTTTTTTAAAACCAAATTTTAAATTAAATAATCATATAAATAAAGTTTGGAAGTTAGTCAAGCCATTCCCTACATCGTCATCTTCATAACGAATATACTACACGCTAACAAATGTATTGTCTCATTACAAGAATGAGGAATAAAATGATAACTAAGGTGTCTCGGACAGAGAATTTAAAGACGCTTACAAACCTTAATGATAGACATAAAGTAAGACCAATTTCTAGTAAAAAACGTGAGAATGTTTCATTTTACATGTGGGCTTTAAGAACAACTCAATCTTATTGTGTTTGGGCCTTTTCCTTTTAATTAAAAACACATTCTTCTTATGTTAGGCCCATATAAAACAGTGTCAGGCTCCACTTTCCTTCTTTTGGCGTGGTGTCAGGACACGGCGTCGTGGCGGTTTCCGGCGGAAATCGCGACTAGGGAAAGAGGAAGAAGAGATCAGCAACTCCCCCGGGCTTCTTTTCGCCGGAGTTTATATTAGAGTCCAATGAATCGAGTCGATCCTGCTCCGTATAGCTTTGCTCCTCCACCGCCGCAACCTCCTCCCTTGCCGCCGTTTCCCCCACCTTCCAGCGCTTTCTGGGAACCTGCAAATGTGCGCGATCGTCTCAGAGAACTACAAGACACTATGAATCTCGCTGAAGCTCTGTAAGTACTTTTCAATGTTCGAAACTGCGATTAAACCCTGTTCTGATGTGATTTTCATGAAGATTTCGTTTGATTGCATATTTTATTAGCAGGAAAACAGAGCTGGAAGTGATCATTAAGGCAAACAGTATTAGAGGAGATTCTGAGGGTTTGGAGAATTTGGATACACACAATGAGTCTGTTGATGCGTTTTTACAGTTTCTATGCATTAATAGGATTGATTTAAAAAGCCATGAATTGATTTCATTGGAAGCTGCAAATGCACTGATATTGAAATTGAGAGCTCAGCTTGAGCCGTTTAGGATCGCAGCTGATGAGGCCAGTCCGTGGGAAGAGAAATCTGTGGCTATCAGATTAGGTAATCGGTTGCAAAAGTATAAAAGAAACAAACTGTGGAGGAAAAAGAAGAGGAAACGTGTTGCTGAGAAGTTAGCTATGGTGCTAAATCTGTAACCTTTGGTTTCCTTTAGTTGTGCTGTGCTGCTTTGGAAATGGTGCATTTCTTTTACTTGAAATAATTGAACTTTGTGAATTTGCAGGAGAAAGAGCAGTTTGAGAAAGTTGATAAAGAAGCTGATGAGTGGATGGCTAGGGAGATGGCAAAGGATGTTGCTAAGCAAAAGGTATGATTTGCACGGATTAAGCTATGTGTACCCCAACATTTATACCCCAATTTGTACCCCGCAGGTTTGCACCAACATTTTGTGTTGGTGTAAAACTATTTTTTGTTAACGCACCAACATTTGTGTCCGTGTAAATTTTTATTAACACACCAACACTTGTATCGGTGTAAACAATCAAAATGTTTGTGCAAAACTGTGGTGTACAAGTGGGGTACATTTTTTGGTGTAAGTGTAGCATGGTTCTGATTTGCACACCACACACATTTGCAGTCTCAAATGGCTTTTGTCAATGACCTAAAATATCTTTTTTTTTAGATCCTTTTCTCTCATCTATTCAAATCCAAGAACTGCATTCTTCTTCTACCTTGCTGTTGCAAGGGGTAGAGGTAGGCCTAGGAAGAGCTGGAAGGAGGTGATTAGAAATGATTTACAAATTACAACTTAAGGATCTTATCGATGATATGACTTAGATAGGAAAGCTTGGATGGTTAGGATTAGTGTAGTGGGGTAGACCTTTGGGTCTTAGGTGGTAGTTTTGGCTGCTATATTAGAGTAGCATTGCAGCTTCTATTGCTGCTTTTAAGCATTTTCTTTTTGAATGGCTCCTGTGGCTATTGTGTCAAGTTGTATCTATCTTAGGATGATAAGAAGAAAAAGCTGAGAAAGTATTTTAATGGACTTAAATGTCACATAAACTGTGTATCTGTCATGGGCTTTGTGGCTTAATCTGTTTGCCTGCATTTGAAATACATCTCCAAATACTATTTGGATCATTAGACTTGGTTGATCTGATATATATGATGCCTCTTTGTGTGCAGGTTGCAAAGATGAAAGAGATAGCAAAACTGAAAGAGAAAGAGGAGAGAAAAACATTGGGCTCTGAGGTAAGTTTGGCAGACATTTACCCAGCTTCACGCTAACAATTGACTAATCATTAGCTTCCTTCAAGAAATTGAGGTTTGGGATAATTGCTGTTTGTTTCTCATTTATTCTTGATTATGTAATGTAATGTGCTCCCTCGTTTTCAATTTCATGCATACCAGTCCCTCATTTAAAAAAAGTTAGTCAGTTCAGCCCCTCAAGAGGGTTACAAAGATAGAGTGTGAGGGACTGAATTGAAAACAATTTTAATACTCTTTTCATCCTGTTTGAATCTTCCAACCCTAGTATTGATAACAGTACACTAAAAGGTTGGCAAATTCCAGCTGGACGCAGAGAGTAACTGAGAGAACAATTAAGGGGCCAAAACAACGATTTTCTTCAAGTTCTGGACTACTGTCCAGAAGTCTTTCTTATCTATAAACTAACTTGTGTTTTGGAAGTGAGTAGTTGCTGGCAATGTCATCATATCGTTACTGCCTTCTACAAAAATAGGTTTGGTAACTTGGACATTTACGATTTCAGCTTGAGCTGGCATTGATGGTGGAGAAGTTGCAGGAATTACGCTCCCTCAGGATTCAGAAGTTGAAAAAACAAGGTACATATTTATGATCCAACCAGATTTTCTTTTGTTAAAAAAAATCAACAAACAACAACAAACCCATTAAAACCCCACAAAGAAGTAGGGTCTGGGGAGGCGATCTTACCCCTATTCGACAATAGAGATGCTTTTTCCAAGATACCCCATGTCAAACCAGGAATCACAAAGTAAACACAGAACAAAGTAAGAGCACAAATACAAGGACATATCGACAATAGGTACTAGGCACATAAAGGCACCAACAAAAACCACTTGCTAAAGTTCAAATGTACACACAACTACTCTAATCCTAGATCTCGAGACGTTTCTATCTAAGGTTATATCCTTGGTAAGATCCTTAAGTTACAATTCTTGTCTAATCACCTCTTTCCAAGCCTTTTAAAAAAATACGGAAAATTTATGTATTCACTCTGGTCTTCAGCATAATAATATTATTCTTCACTGACTCGGCAGGACGGTTTCTTCCCGAGGAGGACGACAAGTTTATGGAGAGAGTGAAAGCTGCAGTTGAGGAAGAGGAGCGGCAAGCAATGGCTGCAGCCGGCACTGCTGCCGCGAGGGATGCCATAGCAACCGCCGAGGAGGAGTCGAGAAAGAACCTCAAAGGCGAAAAGGAGACGAATCAAGAGGAGGAGGCTACGACGCGACCAGCAGAAAAACAAGAGCACAAGGAGACTGGTGGTGAGTACTGGAATTTGCCAATGGAGTATTATCAGTACTATTATGGGAGTAACCATGATATGGGTACCCTTGTGGAGGTTAGAAGAACATGGGATGCTTACTTGCGGCCAGGGGGAAGTCGGATTCCAGGCCACTGGGTTCAACCCCCACCCCCTGCTGACCAAATTTGGGCTTCTTGCTTGGTCAAGCCTGATCCTCTTCCCCTAAAACACTCTCAACAATAATACTGTGTTTTTGTTTTCCAACTAGACAAATGATATGAAATGTGTCTATTGGAAGGGAAATGAGTTTATATTATTATTATTATATTTAGATAATTTAGATATTTCAATCATAATTTCTTTATGTCTGCATAATTTTGTGTCAACAATAATTTCCTTAGGTAGCTTGACATGAATATGTATACACATCTGTATGGAGTATGTGTGCATGTGTGTGTCTTTTGAACTTTTTCAAATGAAAGAAATTGCCAACTTCATGGTAATTTTAAGAATTATATGGAGTATTCTGTAATATTTAAAATAGATTTAGTACTAGTATTCCTTTATAGACAAACTGACAAATTCTTGTGAGATCTAAGATTTTGTGGACTTTATAATAGGCAAATTAGCATCAAAGCATGTACTCACTACTTAGATAAGCATTTTTGGATTCTGCAGATATTAGGACATTAAGTTCATTACAATCTAATAACTTGTCAAGTTTAAACACAAGTTATTTCAATTCCCACCATAGTTTTAATTGAGGAAAAACTACACATCTCATAATTTCAATTCTTAAGCATTATTTATTTTATTATAATGTACCATCTGTTTATACATATTTTTATTAATCTACTGGAGCACAAATAATTGATGCTCCCTCTAGGAATCAAACGTGTGGCGCCTTATTTGGGAGAGTCACAATTGTACATTTTACGTAAAAGATAACATTTATCCTCAAAATATGAGTTTTATGTTTTTATCTCTAAAATAGTATTTTGCTCTGTGACATTATGACATAGTATAGTGATATTTCATTCAATTTTTTTGTATTATATATTGGTATTATTAACATTATATTCTTATTTAGAAGATAAAAAACATGAAGCTCTTGTTTTGATATTTTCTGCATATTTCATTCCTAATCCAGCCATTTTTCTTGCCAACTATTTGGTCTAGATTCAGTTCAAAGAAGAAGAAAGAAAAGGAAATAAAAAATATCTTCTTCTTCTTTTAATTGCATAGAAGAGAATGATACTCCTATTAATCTATTTGTTGGGACTGCGCGTGCCCTCACCCCAACCCCGCATTAGTATGATATTGTCCGCTCTGGGCCAAGCCCTCACGGATTTATTTTTGGGCACCTCCCAAAAGGCCTCATACTAATAGGGTTGGGTGAACCTATATATTTTGGTCCATTTTTTCTTCTCCCTCCGGTGTGGGACTTGAGGAATCCCCAACAAACCTCCCCTCAACCAAGGACCACACAATTTCCGACCTCCCCTCCAGCGCGGTAATCCATTTTTTCTTTTATCTGCTAACCATCTTGCACCGCCGCACACTCTTTGCGGGACACGCCGCCCGACCTCATGTTGGGAAGACTTTCGACGCAAGGCTCGAACCGCAGATCTTTCCTTCGCTGGGCTACACCATTTTGATCTGCCAAATCATCTTGTACCGCCGTGGCTATAACTTCACGGGACACGCCGCCCGATCTCCTCTCGCCGGGAAGACTTTCGACACAAGGCACCACCTGCAGATCCTCTTTCTTGGTCTTGGCCCTTTTTGTTACACCGTCACACCGAGATTTTTTCACACTACACAGTCCGCCTCACGCCCGCAAGAACCTGGGCTCCGATACCACATGTTGGGACTGCGCGTGCCCTCACCCCAACCCCGCATTAGTATGATATTGTCCGCTCTGGGCCAAGCCCTCACGGATTTATTTTTGGGCACCTCCCAAAAGGCCTCATACTAATGGGGTTGGGTGAACCTATATATTTTGGTCCATTTTTTCTTCTCCCTCCGGTGTGGGACTTGGAGGAATCCCCAACACTATTATACATCCAAATGAAGAATATTCATTTTATTTGCAATATATTTGAAAATTGGCATGAAATGAAGGAATATAATGGGGTGCATTCTCCTCAAAAAACTGCTACCTTTGTATTACCTCGTATCTTTTTTTATATCTCTTTTTAGTGTGAGATGTAATTCAAGTGGTCAATATGAGTGCGTAAAATTATGACCAAATATGAAATGAGTAAAAAATATAGAACACACAAAGAATTTAAAAAGAAAATAAAAAAAGAGGAATTTGTCCTAGGGTTCTCTCATACCCGCCAGATAGTTAGGTGAAAAACAGTAAATATCAACCATATAATTTTACTTCTATTAATTTCCATGTCTCTCCCTTATGCCCTAATAATAGGAGTAGGAGAGAATATATAAAAACAAAATAAGTGACGATTTTACTATTTTATTTCATCAAACACTCAATAAAATATATAAAAAATATAGTTTAACTTTATGAATAGTGAACAAGAATTTTATTTTGAAATTTATGCTCATTCTCTTTTGTATTTTTTGCTCCCACTATTTTTGATATTACCTCTGTCCCATTTTAAATTTCCTGTTTGCCATTTTTCTCCGTCCCAAAATAAGTTGTCTGTTAGTTGTTTTCGTAAACTTTTAAAAATAAAATACCTAAACTACCTCTAAAATAAGTCAATCTTCTCCACATTATATTCTCATTCACCATCATTCTTCTAAAAAGTATTGACAATTTTGGAAAATCAACTCTATTTTTAATTTTTCTTAAATATGCCCAAAAGTCGAAACGGACGATTTAAAACGGGACGGAGGGAGTACATAAGAGTGATACGAATATTACAATTAAAGTAAGATTAATTATAAATTATAACAAAAACAGTGTATAAATATTACTTCCTCTTTCCTAAAAAATGTCATAATTCATTATTTAAAACACAGAAATTTGTGAATGTTTGTACGCTTTCATCAATTATTTAACAAAATAAAATATTTTTGTCACATATTATTTTGAAGAACTTTTGACGTAATTATATATATATATATATAGAATAAAATAAATTGAAAACCCTTAAAATTTTCTTTCGTTTTGCTTAATGTGGCAAACATTTTGGGATTGAGGGAGTACTAAGAACACGATATGAGATAATAATAATAATACAGATAAAAAGACAAAAAATAATAAGAGTAGAAAAAATTAGAAAAATGCATTTTGTTAGGATATAACAACATTACCCTAGTGCTTCAAAGGTTCCCTCTGATTGCAGGGAGGGTCAAATGTAAGCAACTTGAGCATTATATTTATAACATAGAGCGATTATCTTTAAATGATTCATGATACGTGTTGAAAGTTCATTAAATAATTGTTGTTTCAGCATTGAAAAAAGTGCTAACAATTTAAAGATTGTTTTACTTTACTCTATTATACCCCAAACAAAAAACAGTGAATCTTTGTTGGGAACTTGGGCTAAATGTTCATTAAAAAAATACATTTTGTTGGGGATAAATGTTCATTTTCACATTATGAATGTATAAATGAATCCGTATATACGGAGTACACCGTATAATATACTCATCCTCGCATATAGGTTCACGTGAAGAGGAAACGAAGCAAATACTGTCTGTAATTTCCAGAGAGAGCTCCTCTGCTTCTTCAAGCGTCCCCATTCGTACGCACTTGGGGGGGCCAAATACGGTAACTTATCCCCTTCACAGCTCACTTATTCCCATCTCTGTTCTTCAAATCTGGATACTTAGAACTCGATTCAGCTTTGGGTTGTTGATCTTCTTCTCTTCTCAAGATTCATTTTGCTGCTCTGAACTCTTCTTTCCCTCCCCCCAAAAAGGGAAAAAGTTTTGATTTTTCTTGGTATAAATGTTCCCAGCATTTCTGGGTCTAGATCAATTTTTCTTGGTATAAGTGTTTCCAGCATTTCTGGGTCTAGATCAAATGGTTAGTTTCCTGCCTTCATGACCCAAGATTGGTAAAAAAAAAATAACTATTTTCTACTGGTTCTTTGGGTCCCTTATGACTGGGAGATGATGTATCAGTAGCTTTCTGTTTTTAGATATTTATTGAGATGGAAAACAGTTAAAGTAATAATCTCTGTAAGTGACGTGAGAGGATATTCAAGTGGTCCTTGGATCAATTTGAGCTTTAGGAGAGCTGATTTTGTTTGAAGATTTGAGAATCTTGCTGGAAAAAGGGGGGATTTCGTTTTTCGAAGTTGAAGCTGGATCGATATTCTGAGTAGGGTTAAGGTCTTGCTGGAAAAGGACCCACCCTACTTTTGTAGGATCTTACTGATTTTGTTGTTGAAGCTGAATTGATAGTTTGATGCTTATTGAAGGAAAAAAAGAGGGTTATTGGGTAATTAGGGTTCAGGTGATTTGATGGCATCAATTAGGAGGACATTGTCCCCCGTGCCAAGGGCGGGGGTTCCTATGAATGGGGAGACATGCCCGGTTTCGTCATCCCCTTTGTCCAAATCGTCTTTGAGCAATCCGAACCACCCAACCCATAGTCTGAACTTTCCATCCTCGATTGCTTCGTTGGATTATGCATTGTTCAGAGCACAGGATTGTTTGCTTGGTTTCATCTCCCATAGAAGGCCTTTAGAGAGGTCAAAGTTAAGGGGGCAAATTTGGAAGAGATCTATTCTCCATTACTTCTCGTGCTTCATTCTCGGGGTCTTCCTTGGCTTCACTCCTTTCCTTTCTCCGATTTTGTCTTTCCAAACCCTCCAAAAGGACGAAACGGTCAATGACCCGTCATTGGAATTGGAGAATTTGGCGATCGTGGACAATTCAACATTGGAACTGCATACCAAGGTTAGTATAGCGGTGGATGGAAATGGCAATAGTGCCCCTCCTAACCAAACGATGGATTTCCACAAACTCTTGATAGTTGTTACCTCGACCGAGCCACGCCCGTTTCAAGCATACTACATGAACCACATCGCGCATACTCTGAAGCGGGTCCCGCCCCCTTTGTTGTGGATAGTCGTGGAGATGAACTCCCAGTCTTTGGGAACCGCCGATATGTTGAGGAGATCGGGGGTCATGTACCGCCATTTGGTATGCAGTGACAAGAACGTGACAGAAGTGAAAGAAAGACGTGTACACATGAGGAACACTGCACTATCCCACATTGAAACACATCGTCTTGATGGGATTGTTTACTTTGCTGATGATGATAAGACTTACTCTCTTGAGCTCTTCGAAGAAATGCGGGAGATCAGGTTCTGTAATTCATATTCTAATCCTTAGTGCTATACTTAACAATTGTTATTGTCTCAACTTGCTAGATAGAGCCTCGCTGCTGTAATGTATTTGTATAATTTTGCATTTGTTTATCCATTCATTTTATAACATATAAGAAATGGATACAATATACACAACTAAGATACGACAAAAAAATTGCAGCAATCAAAAGTTCAAGCTTGTTATTGTAGGCCTAAGAACTGTTTTATATACCCCAAATAACGTGCCCGCTAACTGCTCCATTGCAAGATTTGTTTTTGCTCTAGCCTACACGTTTCCAAGGGTTATTTTAGGAATCTTGAATTGCATCAGCAGTCTGTATCATTTGTGATTTGGATTGTACATCTTCCCAAGGGTTATTTTAGGAATGGAGTACGATAAAAAATTTCGGTGTGCAGGCGGTTTGGAGCATGGCCAGTGCCAAGAATGGCTGCAAATAACAGACATGTCCTCTTGGAAGGGCCTGTCTGCAAGGGTGCAAAGGTATTGGGGTGGCACACAAATGATGTGAGGAAACGAATCCGGAGGTTCCACGTGGAAGTGTCGGGGTTTGCCTTCAACAGTACAATTCTTTGGGATCCTAAGCGGTGGCACAGGCCTACGCTCCAACCCATCAGGTTGATTGATGGCCTTAGAGATGGCTTCCAAGTGAGTTTTGTCTGTTTTACCTCATTTTTTTCTCATTGTTTTTGAAAATATATGTCTCAATTGGCTCAACTAGGTAAAAAAGTACCCAAAATTCGATGAAAGATTTTGTTAATCAAACCTGAAATGACCTTCTAAGAATGGGTCAAATCTGACCGAACCCGACCCAAGTGACATGTTTGCCATGTCTACCATTAACCCACAATTCATTTCTTTAATGACAATGGTATTCATTTCAGGCAACGACATTCATCGAACAACTAGTGGAGGACGAAAGCCAAATGGAAGGCATTCCGCCAAACTGCTCAAGGGTCATGCTTTGGCAATTCGATATAGAATCCTCATACCCTAAATACCCTTCTTCTTCTTCTTCTTCTTCTTCTTCTATTAAGAACCATTCAAAAACTGCAACTGCGACAACCCTTGTATGATTTTCCTAAGATTATTGTCGTGTCGTTTCTTGTTGGGCAATTGTCGGTGCATTCATTCTGCTTTGCGAAGAAGAAAATTTTGCTTGGACGCCGACACCGACATATATAGTGTAACAAGCCAAGTGATCTCTTTGGTTGAACTTTTATTATGAGTCCTTATTTTTGTGCAATGAAGAAAGAATTTACCTTTCATAGGACAAGTGGATCTGTTTTGTAATCTTGGTTGTTGTAGGGTACTATTGTACAATTTTTAAATTTTTTAAAATATGTTACCTCTTATTCATTGGGTACGTGACCCCTTTTTTGGTCTATTGATTCAATCACAATATAGTACTACCTCCGTCCCATTTTATAACGCCTGTTTCGGTTTACGATGTTTGATTGAAATTATTTTTAAACTATTTTATATGAAAACTGGTATAGAATTAAAAAATAAAAATTACATATTAAAAAACTACATCAAAAGATCTACAAAACTAGTAGTGACAATAATATTTTATTTTATCAAATTGCTAACAAAAATAGAGAAAGAAAGTGAATGAAGTTTGACCCTGTGAATAGTAAACATGCATTATAATTTGGAACGGAGAGAGTATCAGCTAACACTTTCTCAACCTAATGACTCATACTATGAATTTGGGACAAAATTTAAAAAAATTACACTCATTAGTTTGTTACAAAAAGAATTTAGTGTATTAGTGTGTTAGGTTAAACATCGACTTTTGTCTTTAACTTAACAATTATATCAGTTGGTTTTTTCTTTCGGTACAAAACCAATTGATACACGCTCATTATAATGACATATGTGATATTCAATAAATAAAAAAGAGATTTTTCCAAAAATCGAGAATTTTAATTTTATCTTTGCAATTTATTACAAAGTAAATAATATGATAAAAATATTGCGTAGTTAAATCAATCGATGAAATATTGTATTTCTTCCGTCTTGAAATAAATTTCTCATTCATGTTTTAATGATCTTCAATATAATATCTTTTGAACATTAATATCAACATTTTATTAAAATATTATTAAGTTTCACTGCTATGTTGCAAATTAAAAATAATCATACTCTTTTTTAAGTTATAAAACGTATATTGTTGGTGTATTTAGGAAAAAGTTTGCAGTTATTACACAGAAATAGTTTACACCCGGAAGAAATGAACAAACATCAGTCGATATGTCCGAGTGGTTAAGGAGACAGACTCGAAATCTGTTGGGCTTTGCCTGCGCAGGTTCGAATCCTGCTGTCGACGTCTTTTCTTATTGTTTTTTAATTGTACCGTATTTGTTTGAATTTTTTTTTGTATGAATATGAGTGAAAAATTAAAAGTTTTTGTGTCTTCTGGCGTGTAACCCGCCACCTAGTCCCTCCCTCCCTCTGCCACCTGTTGCCGCTCATTTTCGCCGCCCGCCGACGGTTCCGTTTCGTCGCGATTCAATCCCATATCCGCCCGACAACCCACAATCACACACTGATGGAAACCCTCTTGGCATTTTCCGCAGTTCCTCCGTCTCACCCGGCGAGATTCCCTCCGACCAAGCTGCTCGCCGGAAGGAAGTCTCCGGCGTTCGGAGCGAGAGCATTCTCCGCCGCCCAAAGCACCGAGCCGGAGATTAGCGACGCTGTTAGACCGGTTTACTACCCCACCCCTCCCAATCGCCCTTCTCGAACTCCTCACAGCGGGTAATTTACTCCCATTCCATCTTCATTAATTTACTAGCTAGGGATTGGGTAAAGTTTAAAAAGTTGTTTGGATTTCCTTTTTCTCATCAAATTTGAAATTTTGAATGTTGTCTCAGGTACCATTTTGATGGGACTCGAAGACAGTTTTTCGAGGGATGGTTCTTTAAGGTTTCGATTCCGGAATGTAGACAGAGTTTCTGCTTTATTTACTCTCTTGAGAATCCTGCATTCTCTAAGCCATTGAGTGGGCTTGAAGAACTGCAGTATGGACAGCGTTTTACCGGAGCCGGAGCTCAGATTCTTGGTGCTGATGATAAGTATATTTGCCAGTATACTCCAGAATCTAAGAACTTCTGGGCCGGTACGTTTCTCTGTTTTCGATTCTTTTTTCAAAAAAAGTTTTTCTGAATTCTAATCTATTTATTCGTTATGATATTGTGTGATAATAGAAGATTGAATTCTAGAGTCTTTCCAACCCGAATTCTATCACATTCAAGAATCAAGATGCACAAATGAGTTGATTAAGTAGATGATTGAATTCAATCACTCATTCTCTTGAATATCTCTCTTTTGACTTCTGTTTCTTTCCTTCGTATTCTTCATTCCAAAATTTCGTCTCTGGTTGATCTGCCCGGGATATTTTGTTTTGTTGAATAAGGGAATTGCTTTTGATGTTTCGTTTATTCTTTTGGTGCATTGCATGTTGCTGGTCATTGAAGAACTTTATACTTTTTTAAGAGAAAAAAAATCATCTGCTGAATTATTAGAACGGATTTCTTTGTGAACAGATGGGCATGAGTTGGCTCTTGGAAACACTTTTGTTGCCCAAACAGCTGCCAAGCCACCAACTAAGGAGGTCCATCCTCAGGTCATTGCATTTTACTTGGTTTATTCATTCACCAGCCTGATGTAGACGGGTAAAGAATAATAATTACGGAGTAACTACTAATTACAGATACGTTTTTAAAGCTAAGCAGTTGTGGTTTTGTGTAACATCAATGTTCAGCACACCTTCTCAGTTCTCACCCTAAAGGCTAAAAAGTTACACACTATGTCTTCATTTGAGAAAAAACGTCTAGGCTCCGTTTGGTATACGGAATTCAAACTATGGAATTGGAATTGAGGACTTCAATTTCAATTCTGATGTTTGGTAGCACAAAAATTATATGGATTTGGAATTGATAGTACAAAAAATGAATTGGAATTGGTGAATTCAATTCTATGGAATTGAATCCGATGGAATTTCAATTCCAATTCCATCAATTCCGTATACCAAACGGACCCTTAGCCTTTTGGATATTTTTTAACGGTGCATATTAGCTTTGAAAACAACAATGCTAAAAGCTACAGTTGGATAGCATTTTCAAAATGCTGAAGCTAATGCCAAAACGAAGTCTAGATAGTTAGAGGAATGCATATTTTGCTTCTTGGAACCTTTTGGTTGTTTTGGTAATATGGTTTTAGGTGTTTAACAGATATGTGACTATATACATATATTCTCTACAATAAAGTATACTCTTGAGAACGTCTTGGAATTTAAAAATGAGTTATGAACAGGAATTCAATCGCCGTGTTTTAGAAGGGTTTCAAGTTACACCAGTATGGCATCAGGGATCCATTCGTGATGATGGAAGGTATTCCCCTCTCATTTCTGAACAATGTCACGACGAATGCTAATTGAACCATTAAGTGGAGTAGTAATCAATACTTAAAGTATGAAAGCTTGTGTTATACAATGTAAGGTTTTTTTTTGAGCCATGTATTTAAAGGGTTATATCTCCACCTCCTTTCTTAGTTCTAAAACTTCCATTTGTTTTCTGTTCTAATCCAAAACTGCTTCTTCATTTGTTATTTTTTCTTTGTTGAGTAGTTCACATTGGATCTCTATGGTTTGAGTAAACCCCATCTCGTATTTTGATAGAACCCTTTTTGTGGGTGTTTCGTGGAAGTCTAAACAGAGTTTGGATTTGATATCTTCTGATATCACAATCATCTCAAATGGGTGTGTTTCGATCTCCCAAGTTTAGGAGATTTCAATCCAGCTTCAAATCTCCCTGGCTCCCTCACTTGCTGGCAACCTACCCCGCCACTCACCCATCATTGCCAGCCACCCCTGCACTAGCCATTCCACCTTGTCACTAACAACCATTATTTCAGATCTCTCGAATCACTTTCTTTTCATATTTCAAAACTCATATCATTTCTTTGATATTTTAGAACCAATATCATATCCATCACTCCAAAACTCACCAAATGGGCCTGAATTTTATTATTTATATGGTATCAAAGCATGATCCAATGGTGGTTTGCGAGACATCAATCCACTATTGGTCCCGACAGCCCATTTGAGCCCATTTATCTACTCCTTTAGTTGTTCGTCCCTGCTTGGGTAGTCTAGCAGAGTTGAGTATAGGATTTAAGTGTGAGGTAAACTCAACCTAGTGATAAATGATGTTCTGTTTGACATGACTTAGCTCGACAGGACAGATTATGCAGAAACAGTAAACACTGCACGTTGGGAGTATAGCACTCGCCCTGTTTATGGATGGGGAAATTTGGGGTCAAAGCAAAAGTCAACGGCAGGTTGGCTTGCTGCATTCCCAGTGTTCGAACCTCACTGGCAAGTGTGCATGGCCGCTGGACTTTCAACAGGTATTGACCAGTTCCCTCCCTCAAATTTCTAGAAGATGGGTTGTTTTGTTATTGGTTTTTTCTTTTTCTTTTCTTAAATATATATTTTGATCAATGACGTTTATTCATACACTATTTTATATTGCACTGCAATGTCAATAATGCGCACACATATCTTACATGGATGATCAAAGGCATACTAATTCCTGAAAGCTTTGTTTCCAGGTTGGATAGAATGGGGTGGTCAGAGATTTGAGTTCCAAAATGCCCCATCATATTCCGAGAAAAACTGGGGAGATAGCTTCCCTAAAAAGTGGTTCTGGGTCAGTTCTACTCTACACTTGTGTATTTAGCAACAACTTTTCCATGTCCTACATGTGCCTAATTTAGGCCAAACCATAATTTGTAATGAACAGAAGTACTCCATACTGTTAATGTTGAATTTGCAGGTACAATGCAATACCTTCAAAGGTGCTGATGGAGAAGTCACTTTGACGTCCGGTGGTGGACTAAGAAAAATTCCCGGATCTGGATCAACTAGCACCTATGAAAATGCTGCATTGGTATTTTCTTGCTTTAAGCTTATACTAAGGACGCTCTAACTATTATTCCCTCCATCCCAAAATGAATTTCTCATTCACTATTCAATGTGGCAAACTATATTTTCTTTCCTTACATATTTCGATCATTTGATAAAATAAAATAGTCAAGCCACCTCTTGTTTCTAGTAAAACTTTTGATGTGTAGTAGTTTTTTACAATTCTACGCTAATTTTTAAACAAATTGAATTTAAAATAACTTTAGTCAAACATTGTAGACCGCGACAGAGGGAGTATTATACAGTAAGGATTAGTGCTTTAGTTTTATAAAAACATTGTATAAAAAAATTTGCAGATAGCAGTTCACTATGGAGGCATCTTCTATGAATTTGTGCCGTGGAATGGTTCTATAACTTGGGAAATTTCTCCCTGGGGTCACTGGTACATCACTGCAGAGAATGAGACACACAAGGTAGCAATTTAATACCTTGTTTTTATTCCAAGTTTGCATTTTGGTAAGTTTATTCAAATGCAAAAAAAGAAAGTATGAAGTTGTGGAAGGAAGAACAAGTGACCCTAAATAGATTCTTAAGATAAGTTGAATGATTAAGAAACATTATATAATATGGGGACTATAATGTGTGAGCAGGTGGAAGTGGAAGGAAGAACAAGTGACTCAGGCACGCCGTTGCGTGCCCCCACTCTAGAGATGGGTCTTGCCCCCGTATGTCGAGATTCTTGTCGTGCAGACCTACGACTACAATTGTGGGAACGCGGGCCCGCTGGCACTAAAGGAAAGGTAACTTTGCCTCTTTTTACCCCCCACCCTCTTTTACTTTCCATTTTGTGAATTAGTGAGTAATTAATTATTAGTCATTCTAGTCTGGAGTAGTGTAAGTGCTTGTTCGTCAATAGCTTCAGCGTTTTAAGAAAGCTGTCTAATAATAGCGTTTAGCTTTACATTATTAAAAAAATTATTCAAAACACCAACGTTAATTGAAAAATGTTGCTCCCAAACAACATCTAAGAGTAAGGAGATTTTGTCTTTGATTCGAAGAGCTCATTCTGCAGATTCTCAATCTGATTTTAAATTCTATAAATGGTCTCTAATTACAGACGGTTTTCCATATTTGGTCTCCAACTATAAGATATTACGTATATAGTCCTCGATTTATGAAAACTATTCTATAAAATAGTCCTTTAGCCCAAATATGACTATTTTTTCCACAAATAGTCTCCGAAGGACCGATTATGGAATATTTATAAAAGTTGAGGACCATTTATGTGATATCTTAAATTCCGATTTTCCAGAAGTAATGGATTGTTTTGCTTGATTCTCCATAACGGGCAAAGTTTTGGAATGATTTGTAGAGCATCTTGGAGGTGACGAGCGACATGGGAGGGGTAGAAGTAGGGGGAGGGCCGTGGTTCAACACATGGAAAGGGAAAACAGACACGCCGGAAATTCTCAAGCGCGCCATTAATACACCGGTCGACATTGAAGGCTTGTTTGGCTTGCTTCCTCTCCTCAAACCGCATGGCTTGTGAGTTGTAATTAATCGAATCATCTTCCTCTGCAACTCATCTTGTAATTTGCCCTTCTTTTTCTTCTTCTTCTTGATGGAGTACACACATACTTTTGTTGAAATCTTTGAAATAAAAAATAAAATGTGCATCCCCTTTAGGGAGTAGCATAAACATTGTTGATATGACTGTTTGGTTCAATAAAATCTTCAAGGTAGCGTTTGGCAACTAGTATCTCATTTCAATTCCCAATTTGAAATCTTGAATTTCAAATGACAAAGGAGATGCTCATGGATTTCAAATTAAGTTTTATTATGAATGAAAAGAATTTGTCTCAAATCTAAATTCAAAATGTTTAAGTTTTTCCAAATATGGGATTTGAGCCAAATTCGGATTTGAAATCCAAATCTATGTTTCCAAACATACAACAAAAGAATTTGAAAATAGGATGTAGTATAAGCATTATCGATATGAATGAGTGGTTAAAAAATGAGTTCTCTTATACTTGGGGTATTATACAGAATAGTACATCCAGATGTACAATGTTAATTATACATTTGTCATATGTGCCTTTACAAATTAAACAGTATTCATTTGAGAAGGGGCTAAAATATGAGTAAAATATAGAGAAAATATCAAAATATTTTGTAAGAGTTCCGTTATTTAATTCCAAAAATGAGAGTCACAATGTCAATTATTTCAATATATAATATCTAAAAGTATTGTGAAATATCAATATATAATATTACATTGTAACAATTCAAACTTGTATTTGAAGGATAAAAATATGTTACTCGTATTTTAGAGATACGAGCTATGTTTAACTTCTGGAGATAAAGATTATGTTTTACTCCTATTTTGGTGATTTTTTATCAATTTCATACATTTATTTATTTGCATACAGTTAGAGCATACACATTATAAAATGGATGCATACATATTTGAAAATTGCACAATGTTCATTTTGTTTTTTTTGCAAGCTAAAAACATTTCTAGTCAATGAAAAATGAAAGTGTACATTTTTTTGTACATACTTAGGGTTCACATATTGCTCCCTCACTCTCAAAAAAAATTCTTTCTCTATGGGACATCTCAAAAAAAGCATCACATTTCTTTTTATGAAAAACTTTAAATGGCTCACAATCTTTCTCATACTTTCAACCATATATTTATACATGCCTTAATTTTTGTGCCAAGTCAAACAAAGTTTTTTTTTGGAAAGATGGAATATAAAATTAGCATTTGTTCATTTATGCGTTACATTCCCCAGACCCTACTTAGAATCTCCCTAATAAGAGATTTGGTGTGAAGTCTAGATAAATAAATGCAAGAAACAACACAAATACCAATGGAAACCATTCTTAATACAAGTTCCAATAACAACAGATCAGATAGAACCCCCAAAAACAAAAACTCTAATTGATGAAATGAGCAATCTAATCATCGACTTGTGATGTGCATTTCCATCTCCAAGAACTTTTAGTACTAACAATACTGTAAGCTATGAACATTTGAAGATTTAAGGGTAATGCAGCTATGCAAGTGTGCATTGACAGGTTTATAAGGTTCAGTTTGGCTGAAAACTTCTTCTGAGATATTCAGATAACTTGGCGCCAGCTGCCCGCCCCCGCTTCACACAGCGCAGGTAATCCTCCACTGCATTTCAGAAATAAGATGCCAAACGTGGATTCATTCGCGTAGAATTAAAGGACTTTCAGACAAAAAGAGTGACTATGACCATTTTAAAAATTTTAAACGAGTTCAGGTCTGGATCGGGTAAACAAAATCAAGTCACCATATACCCGCAAAATAACTAACGGATCCGGGTCAGAACTTGGTCCAAACCAGACTAATCGACAAGCCAAGTTTCACTTGCGTGTTTCTAGAATCTAGTCACCCGTATTCAGATTTCAGACTCCAACTAAAATTAAAGTAAAAAAGAACATGGCCTATGTGTGGATAGAGGGAACTTACCTTCCAATGTGCCATGTGCAACGGATGTTATGATCCCACATTCCAACGGTTCATCTCCCGCCTTTGATGATTCTTCTTCTTTGGGGACGACTGAGTTAAGGGTGTTTGGGAAGACTAGATGCACAGATGCCTTCATTTTCTGCCATTGTGTTAAAAACACTTGAATGTTATGAATTACTACGTATGATCAGTGAATAAGGGTACATTTTCTTGATTTAGCAATACAGAACTTCACATCACCATCAAATAATTTAAATATAGAAACGATTTCATTTCTTCACACACAAATTTTCCTACTCCCTCTGCCGATAAACTGTACTCATTTTCCTTTTATAGACGTCCCAAAAAATAATTTTCACTTTCTTTTTCTACTAATGAACACATGGCTTGCAAAACTTCTCTCATCTAAACAAATTCTAACCATACACTTCTTTTTTCTATACTTTTCTTGAACTCCATAAAAGTTAAATGAGTACAGTTTTTTTTATAAACGGAGGGAGTATATTTTTAAAATTTACATTTTTACCTCATGTGTAGTTTGTTTTATCTTTTTGAGAAAAAAAATATATGACCTCCCTCTCACCAAAATCTTCCTATTTTATTTTCATGTCCACTTCTTTAAAAGGAAATAAAGTAGCAAGTTTTTTTGGGACATCCAAAAGGGAAAAGTTTGATTTTTTTTTGTGGTATGGAGGGAATATGTTTTTCGAAGTTGTCGTGCTTTGGTGCCACCTAGCACCACATGAAAACAAAAGGGGGTAAATTGAGAGTATACCTGCTCTTCAGACTTGTCAGGGTCAAGTAGAACATATTTACTCTCTCCCAAGCAGCAACCAATTGCAACTGCATGAAATCCCACAGTGGTAGATTTAGTAACTCTCTTATATACAACAATACCTACAAATCCACTAAGATCCCACAAAAAAGTATGGTCTGGGGAGAAATTGTGTATGCAGACTTTACCCCTACTTGGAAATAGAAATATTGTTCCCAAATAACAACATATCGAATGACTGGATTATAAAGAAAGATTATATGGGGGAATGGCAGTCGTAAAAAAATACCAGCAAGGTGCTTCAAAGGAATTCCGGCATCTACAAGAGCAGCACACGCTGCATTAATAGCACAAGGGAGAAGCTTTACAATGCCTCTATTAAGGAAGTTTTCAAATCAACTTTCTCAAGATTCAAGAAAATAAAAGAAGTCCTCGATAGATTGTACTCATACAAAGCAATGTTAAAGGATGCAATATTTTAGAGGGAAAATGTGGCTTGTTTTGCTTATAAACCAAACATGTCATAAGCTACTTATTATAAGCCTATAAGGAGAATAACTGAATGTGGTTAATAAACAGAGCCTAAGTATTCTTGACTTAGTTGAGTGAAAATGAGTGTAACCAAAAACCTTTCCTCTTGGGGGGAAAAAAAATCAGAACATTCAGTTATTTCATCCCAATGGTAGTGCATAAAATGTTTTTATCACAAAGGATACAGCTCCATCATCATTGACAACCTGCATAATAAGATGAAGATGTGGTTGGAGTTGAAAATATACATTGGGGCGAGCATAGGACGAATAGACATAGAAAAAAGTCCTATTTTGTGTAAGGGCGCGGAACTAAGATATTAGAGCATAAAGATAATACTTCTTGCTCCCTTCATCCCACTATTTTTGTCCCGTCTCATACCATTATCATCACGGATACAATCACACGGCTACTAAGTGTTATCGGCAACGATTTCCTCTAGAGCATTTGACTATCTGAGAGCTCACCTGAATTATTACTGATGTTGTAGTGTTTGGATGAACAGTCAAAAGGCAAATGCTCTGTAGTGTCCTCCTCACTATCATCTCATTCTCCTTTTCCTGCTTCCCTATATTTAACAGGTTTTATCGCAAGCTTAAGGAAAGAGTAAAAAATCCACATCTATTTATTTAAAAAAAACATAAACCAACATGTACCCAAACTCCTACTCCCCTTAGACCTTCTTATAAGAGAAAATTGGCAAAATTACAGAACAAAAAAACCACACAAATTAATGCAAAGGAACCCTTAACGTACACAAAGATGGTTCGATTATAATATAGCTGGAGAAAGTTCAACTTGCACTAGGTATTTCCATAAAAAATGACAATTGTTTGAGTGAGAAACTTGAGTTTTGCTTTATATTTTTGGTCAAGTCCTTCGACGTACAATGTTTTACAAGTCATGAATATTTACTTATACCCCATAAAAGCATGAATTTTACTTAAAAATGAAAGCTCTTTCAAAACTGGACTTTTTGTTTTAAGCCAGAGAAGGTCTTAGACCAAGACTATTTTGATACTTGAATTGGGACTGAGAGAGTAATTGTTAAGTAGCATTCAAAATAACAACACTGGATTGTAAGAGAGGCTTCAATAATTCAGAATGTATACCTATTTGTCCAGTTTTGGGCTTCCAGATGACCTCAATACAAGCCTTTTCAGGGTTTTCATTCTTCTTCGTCCCAGCCTTCGGTCCATAAACAGCAGCCAGAACTTTGGTCTCTCCTAAAGCACTCCAAACCCATTAGCCAAATTAAGAAATGGCCAGGGAATA